GCATTCATCTTCTGTCTCCATTTGCTGACATACAGAATCCATGTAATTGGATTTTCTCCTTGGGGAAATCTAAGGGAAATAGGTCCACTGCTGTCACATTTCCAATATGGCCATTGTCCACCCACCTTTCTCAGCTTTCTCAAGGGAACTTTGACTTCAGGCCCCTTTTAAATTAGACACGCGTCTCAGAAAACTTTGACTGCGTGCCTTCCCAGTTTCATCCGTGGCTCCTTGGCAGGTCATGGTACCTAAGAGGGATGTGAGTCACGTGTTACCGGGTTTGGGAGGGGATATAGCCCTAGACAAAGGGAGAGTGTGCCTGCAGCATCCCCTCAAATCCAGTCATCCATGCGTCCACCCATCCACCCACCCACCCATCCATCCCTCCGTTATCCCGCTCAGCATGTATTTATCCAGCACCTGGTACAGCGCCTATAGCAGGCATGCAGCAGTTATCCTTGACCAGCCCGCAAAGGCAGCGCCACACAGTAAGAGAGCAAGTTCTGAAACAAAACCACCTGGATGCTGCCGTATGCAGTGTGACCTTGGGCAGGTCAGCTAACCTCCCTGTCTCTCGGCATCCTTTTTAAGTTGGGATAAAATTAGCAGCTAACCCACAGAGCCGGAATCCAGCAATACATATGAAGGGCTTATCACAGTGCCTGGGCTGGGGGTGGGGTCACAGTGAGCACAGAGCCTTCTTTTGGCTTAAATTCTTGAGGGGATATAGATGAATAAATAAACAGGTGAATAAACAAACTAGGAAACCGAAGGGGGTCTGTGATGTGGAGAATGCTGGTGGTGGAGGCTTCTGAGATCAGATGACCTGGAAAGGGCCCTCTGCAAAGATGTTTAAACTCATACCTGTAGGATGGAAAAGAGCCAGCTGGAAGATGGTCCAGGCACAAGGCAGAGCAAATGCAAAGCCCCTAAGGGGGAGAGGGTATGGAATGTTCTAGAACGAGGCAGAAGGCGTGTTGGCTGGGGGGAGAACGAGCCACAGGGACGGTAGGCATCATGCACTAGGAGGGTGAGGTTGTGAGCACTTGGGAGGTGGTGGAAGGCGTTGGGATTGTATCCAAGTGGGATGGGGAGCCGTTCAAGGGTTTTCAGCGGGGCAGTGGTATGACCCCAGCGTGGGACCTGGGCACTGTCACTGCCCTGGGCTCTTCACAGCCTAAGGGAAACATGCGGTGGACCACCTGGCACTGGGACGAAATCGGAGTCAAGAGGGGGTGGGTTCTGATAGCGGTGTGGGGATGTCCGAGTCCCAGTTCCCAGACCCACGGGACGGAGCGTCGGCCTCAGAGGCCAGGCCATGTGGCTTCCCTCCGTCTCCTGTTCCAGTCCCTCGTGGGAAACAGAGGCTTGAGAAAGCTCTGGATTTTCTGAGCTCTCCATGCTGAGGCTGCTGTGGGAAAGGCCGAGCCTCCGTCCTCACGGAGCATCAGCCCCCATCTGGGCTCCGTGTGGGAAGATGTGCCACTCACAGTGGTATCAGTGTGTCTGAGCTGTGTCGGCGTTTCTTTTCCAGACTGAGGAAAGCTCAAAAAGGGGCGTGTCCTTCAGTGTCTTCGCTGTAGGGGGACACTCTCAGGCTGTCCTCAGGAGCCCCCATTTCAACCTCTGTCAATAAAAGGAGACATAGGACAGGACTGAAGGACTCGCTAGAGCTCAAAGTATGATGGTGCTTTTGTAATTCTGTTTAAGTGGCATTTGGACACAATGAAAAACAGTGGGGTTCCTTAGGCAGAAATATTCATGGGTCTTTGTCTTACTGGACTGAGTGACATTTTAAAACCTCATCATTCATGTTACTGCCATTAAAGCCCCACATTCTTGGCGTCCACCAGCTCGCTGACTGCAGTCTACCAAATGTTCATCCTCCCACATCTCCGGCTTTCCAGACGGATTTTCCATGTTTCTCATCTGTGAAGGGAATCATCTTCTCGGACATCCATCTTTCAGTTAGAAAGCCTTGCAACTCTCTGTCTTTGGTCTACAAATTCCTCCTCTTTGTGCTACGGTTCTTAGTACTAGGTATATTCGTATACCTTGATTCGTCCAAAAGGAGGATCCAACATTGTTAGGAACAGAATTACTAAATTATTCATAAGAGGTAAGTAAAATAAAATGATTACTGAGTAGTAAAGCATTAATAAGTAATCATGATTTCAATTACATTAAATTTGCCTTTTCGCCTTTCTCTGCGATCTTGAAGCTTACTAAGCTCCCTCCTTCACCAAAACCGTTAGGCCTTGATGGGTCCCACCTCACTCAGGCGATGGCTTCTGTCCTCGCTGTCACCTGTGCTCTGGGCACCGGCCACCTGTTGCTCTGCAGCTCTGCCCCCTGCCCCTCTCTGCCCCCATCTCTCCAGCCTGTCCCTTTAGATGACTCCCTCGCCTCTTCACACCCCATCTCTCTGCTCCCCTTTAGAAGCACCCTCTGGAAAATGTCCATGACCTCCCCTGTCCCCACCTCCTGGGCCGACCCCTGCAGCTGCCCCGGCAAGGTCGCTATCCTCCTACCCGTTCCTGAAGCTCTGGGCCATGTGAAGCACGACCACCAGCTCCTTCTCCAAACCCTCATCACCTCCCCTGGCCGCCCTCCTTCCTCTGCTCCTGACCTCCAGGCGGGGCTGCTGGCAGCGAGCCCGCCCCGGGGGCCCTGTGACACCCCGAGGAGGGACGCTTAGGAGATGGGAATCTGAGGCCAAAAGCCGCAGGGAGGTTAACCTCCTCCAGCCAGATTTATCTCCTCCTGAGCAGAGGGAAAAGTGAGGGGTGCGGAAGGGTCTGTGAGCTTTGTCAGTGAGTGTGAGAGGCTGTCTGCCTTTTAGATTTTGGGCACTTTCTTCTCAAACACTCGCTGTTAAGTGGAGTGCAACTCAAGACCCGCTGTGAGGGTCTAACTGATTTAAACCAGGCATGTCCTAAATAAATCGAAACCCATGTAAAACGGGGAGGTGACTCTCAGTTCTGGACTCGGCTGGGGGAGGGTCTGAGAAGTCTGACTTTGTAAGAAACGCTCTCTCATCTGTTACATTTGCAGCGTTGCCACTTTGATTTCTTCCCTTCCACATTTATCAGGACTCTGGTTGCAAAACCCAACTGGAACCAGCTGAAGCAAGAGAGAGGGGGTTCTTGAGGAAAAGGAGAGGCAAAGTGGGCCCCCAAGGCAGCTGGAAGATTTCCTCTTTTCTGTCCTTTGTCGCAGCTGGTGATGGCTGGGTTTTCCCCGGGGCAGCATCCTCCTGCAGCCAGGTCCAGGCCGAAGGAGGCCCTGAGTGCATTTGTGTGTAGCTTTGAGAAGGAAGAGGAAAGACCTCTTCTCCAGAAGCCCTAGCTCCAGGCAGGCTGCAGGGAAGCTTAGAGATTGGTTAGCTTGGGTCCCACACTCATCTTGGGACTGGGGATGGAGCGACCCCAGCAGAACCTAGTGGTACAAAGTGCATTCCCTGGGCAGGGAGGGCGGACAGCATCATTGCTGCGTGCTGCACCTCCTGCAAAGTCCAGTATTTAAAACAACTCTCGACTCGTTATTGCCCAGACGGATAAAATCCAGAGATGTTTAGAGCTCTTCCCTGCTTCCCACCAACCTGGCTCCCCAGATTCCAGACCCATGGGTCTCCTGGCCTTGCCATCCTCTGTCTGGAATCCCCTTCTCCCAGCCCTCCTTTGCCTGGCTGACTCCCCCTGTGTTCTCTCTAAAGCCTCCCCTTTTCACTACCCTCCACCCGCTGTGCGTCCGTTCACGCAGAAGACTCTGTTCCTGCCTCTGTGACAGCCCTCCCCTCACTGTGTTATGTTTTGTCTGTCACCTCACCAGGCAGTGTCCTTATTTATCTTTATATCCCAGCAGCTGGTATAGCACCCAGCACGTAGTCGGTGCACAGGAAATACTTGTTGCAGTGATGTTGAGAAGGATAGCATGTGCATATGACAGCAGAAATCCCAAAATAGTCTAAAACCTACACAAGTTCAGGCTCTGCTACCATCAGTGAAGGTGTAAGTAGATAGCACGCAATTTTAGTTCAGGGTAAATAGAGCTGTTGCTTCTCTACCAAGTCATCCGAGAAATTCAGTATTTCCACATATCCAAAATCATTCTTCCTCACCTCCTACGGCACTGTTTCTAACATTTCATTGTTGTTTTATTTAAATAAATTTATTTTTTTTGTTTATTTATTTTTGGCTGCATCGGGTCTTTGTTGCTGCGTGTGGACTTTCTCTAGTTGCGGCAAGCGGGGGCCTCTCTTGTTGCGGAGCACGGGCTCTAGGCGCACGGGCTCAGTAGTTGTGGCTCACAGGCTCAGTAGTTGTGGTTCACGGGCTCTAGAGCACAGGCTCAGTAGTTGTGGCACACGGGCTTATTTGCTCCGCGGCACGTGGGATCTTCCCGGACCAGGGCTCCAACCCGTGTCCCCTGCATTGGCAGGCGGATTCTTAACCACTGTGCCACCAGGGAAGCCCCTCATTGTTGTTTTAAACTATCCTTTGACATTTTCACATTGACAGCTGGCTCCCCCACCTGCAGGAGAAATAGCAATATTGTGGGTCCAAAATTATTTTTCCAGCGGGAGCTTAGCTGCTGCTTCTAGATAGTGGGGCCTTGTGACTTCCAGAAGGGCGGTTCTCCCAACTCAGAAATCTGCGTGTGCTGCTCGTAGCAGGGTGTGTGCACATGTGTGCATGTGCACGTGTCCACACACACCTGTGTGTGTTGGAGGCATGAGGCGGGAGCGGGTGAGAAGAGCATCCACGTGTACTCTGGGGGCCACTGTTCAAAGCACATGCATCTGAATCTCACCTGCCTGAGTCTCATCCTGGCTCTCCCTGGGTAACCTGAACAGGTGAAGGCCCTACGGGAGCCTCAGCAGGTCATCTATAAAATAAGGAGGGAATCAGATCCATGCCACCCTACAGCCTAGACATCCACGAGCAACATATCATTGCGATTCTACGCTCATCTTTTATGTTGTTTTTATTTTTCCACAGAGGCCTCATTGCCAGCAGTTTCATAGAAACCCACTATCTGCAAGATGGCACTGATGTCTCCCTCATTCGAAATTACACAGTAAGTCATGCATGCTTGGACCACCATGATACTCTGCTGTCAGATCTGTGCTTAAACTCCGTAGCTGTTTTATTCTAAGCAAAGTCACAGGCCTAGATCTTTCACTTAGACCCTGAGAAGAGTTTGAGCATTGCTTACGGTTTGGGCATTCCATTATAACTCCAGAAAAACTTGGCTTTGGCCAGGCATGTGCCAGGACAGTCCTTGAAGGTATGGCTTGATTGCAGGCTGACACTGAACCCACTTGCCAGTGACCATGGGATGCTAAGCTGGGCAAATCCTTCCTGGAAACCAAGCCCAAATTAGAGATGGCTCAGAAAGCAGTCACCCCTGGGCTGAACTTGGCTGCATTAAACTTGTAAGTCCCTTAAAGAAATTCAAAGGAAAACTGACTCTGCTTAACCTTTCATAAATGTATCCACCGTGTCCATATAATTCTATATCATGGTTGTTACTGGAATGTGACATTTATCACCTCTTAGCTTTTCTAGTATCTGAAGTTTTATATGTAACTTAGACAAGATGTGAACTTTATTCATTTATTCCTCTTAACAAACGCTTAGTGTGCTCAGGCCCAGGTGTGAATGTGGGCATTAAAGAGAGTTGCTGCCCTCTGAGGACCAGGATGATTACTTGTTTTAAAGAGCTATGGGTGGGGCTTCCCTGTGGGGCTTCCCTGGTGGCGCAGTGGTTGAGAGTCTGCCTGCCGATGCAGGGCACGCGGGTTCGTGCCCTGCTCGGGGAAGATCCCACGTACCACGGCGCGACTGGGCCTCTGAGCCATGGCCGCTGAGCCTGCGCGTCCGGAGCCTGTGCTCCGCAGCGGGAGAGGCTGCAACAGCGAGAGGCCCGCGTACCGCAAAATAATAAATAAATAAATAAATAAATAAATAAATAGCTTTTTTTTCGTTTTAAAAAGAATAAGCTTAGAGAAAGGCTTTACATTTACAACTGAAATGTCGTCAAGTAGCCATTATTGTCGGCAGAATTTTTGTTAATGCCTGACCAAGCTTGGGAGAGTCAAAGAAATCCCTGGGAAGCAGAAATAAAACCAGGGATGTAGGCTCAGAGCACTAAGCTGGTGAGTTGAGGTCACGGGACCCCCAAAGGGCTATTCAGGACCCAGAGAGAGGACCCCGTGCTTGGGGGTTGGGACCAAAGAAGTGGGCGTCTGCAAATGAGAATCCCACGAAGGCTTGGGCCCCAGAGAGATGCTTCCTCTGTGAAGAAAGGGACAAGTAAAACTTCAGTCCAGAGAAGGGGCAACAGAGAGAATTGTCTCCAGGTGTCCTGGATTGAACAAAGATTTCATAAAAAATAGAGAAAGTGAAACCCGAGCTAGCCTCATAAAGTGTATATTTGGAATGGGGTGGACTGGTGTTCACATTTCTAATACCAGCATAGGAATGGAATTCCCAGTAAATGTTGGCCTCAGAACTGGTCCCAAATCAGCAGCCCTGCGTCCCATGGGCCCAAGCTGAAAATAGTTCTATAGGGATATTTCTACAGCCCAGGTTACCTGAGATTCCCACATCAGAAACAAAGAAGACTATTATCAAAGATGTGACCCAAAATCAAAATCACAAAACACACGATTAACAAAAGCCAGCGTAAATGACAAGGGAAATGAGAATTAGCACCTCCAGGAATGCGAGATAATACAAAAGTCAGAGAAAAATCTGAAACATTTTAAAGAGAACAGAATAGGTCCAATAAAAATTCCAGAGTGAAAATACAGGGGAAAAAAAAAACTAAAGAAGCACCGACAATGCTCCCCATTCTGCTCAAGCCATGGGATGGGCAGTTTGTTTCTCAGTGGTGTCATTAAGGACCAGTTGTTGGTTTTAGAAGGCGGAAGGGACAGTGAATACAGATTTGTCCCTATTGAGCTTGTGGTGGGACAGCGTAGTAAAGGTGTTCAGTAGGCAGATAGGTGTATGACCCTGGAGCACAGGATAAGGATGGAGGCCACAGAAGACCTGAGGGTCCATCTGAGATATAAGTAATCCTTGGTGCCCTGACTTCACTTGACTTTTTTCTTTCCTCTTTTTCTCTCCTAAGAGGATGTCCTTTATACGCCTTTAGAATTAGCACAAAAGCTCTCCTAACGGTATAAATTGTTGTTCCAAATAGAAACAGATAAAAGAGATCCTAGAAATTCTTGACAATAGGCTCACGTCCTCCAAATCTCCCTTATAGATGATAGTGAAGGTGCTTGTTGATTACAGACCATCTAGAAGATGTAAGATATTCTTCCAAAGTTATTTTAATAGTTTCATGTTTTCTGTCTCCATGTCCCTGACCAATTTCCTCTTCTTAGGGCATTTTTGGTCCTTTTTTCTCATCTGGGAAGAAAACACATGATAAGAGAGAAGAAGAAATAGATGACTAGATAAACGAGGGTCCAGCAGCCGCTGGGGCTGTTTGGGACTTGGATTGCGAAGGCTGAAGGCTATAGATCCAGGCATCTTAGAAAACAGCCTGGATGGAAGGGCACTGGAATGTTGATGGCAGTTGTCTCCGGTGGAGACTCTGTGTTTTTCTATGTGGCCTGATTGATGTATGTATGGGGTGGTGGATGGGTTACATTTCTCATCTTTCCACGAGGTCACTGTATAGACAGGCAAACACCTCCCGCCACCCCGACTCACCCCCTCACTCCTCCCTGGAAGCATCTTCTCAGGGAGAGGAGGGCGGGAGGAAGCAGGCCCTGGCAACCGCTGGTCTCTGCTAACGGGGGAGGGGGCAGAGCCCCTGCCTTGGAAAGGCCATGAGCTAGCCGTGCTGTCTCCCCTCGGTCGAGTGTGGGTGAGCCCTGCCGGCCCCTTTGTGGAGTGTTCCAGGCAATGGTCTCCAGCTTCACCAAGATGGGTCCTCAGGCTTGGCTGATGAGAGCAGGGTGGGGAGACGAGGGGAGACGAGGGTTAAAATTGCAGGAAGCCTCACCTCTGCCCTGCCCTGAGTTGCGTCCTCTGATGGAATATACCAGAAAGCCCTCTTTCAGAAGCAGATAAGCCCGTGGTGTGTTTTGAGCTTCATCGCACTCTTCGAATCCTTCCTCAGTAGGTGAACCAACTGGAGGCGGGGTTAACTGGCACCCCGAGACCTCCAGAAACAGCAAGCATATGTTGCCTGTACAATTAGAAAAACAATGACTTTTCTCGCAATCTGGGGCCACCTTCCCCCATTCCTTTGAGGGCCTGTTCTGAGCTGTCAGCCACATTACTGTAAAGGTGGGTGAACAATCTCGTTCACTAAAGAAAACCCTTAGCCCTAGACAGCCCATCTTCCAGCAGAAACCCTTTAAGGGCAGCTCAGGGCCTCATACTGTCTTTCGTGGTGAGGACACAGATGCAGCTTTGGAGGTTTTGTTTCTACTGAATCAGGCTGGGAAACAAAAAGAAATGTGCTGATTCATCCCCTGTTCCCCCAAAGTCAGCACACAATGGATTTCCCTAAATTTAAAATTATACATAAAATAAGAACCACTTTTTCGCTAGCATCTTCCTTTTTAAAATTTAATCTCTCAACAATCAATGTAAGCTGGTTGACAAGCAAACTAGTGGCTGATTTTAATTTTGGAATTGATCCCCTGTCTTTTATCTCTCTATTATCCTGACAGGATGAAATATTTGTGGCTTAAGCCTTTGCTGGCCACATCTAAGGGAAGATTATGTCTTATACTGTCTCTTTTAATAAGGCCTGTGGGAGACAATGCCCATGATATTTATGCTGTCTACATCCCAAAAGACAACTCTGGGAAAGGCCAGAGTGCCCTCCAGAATGTCTCCTAAACGCTGTCAGTGCTTTGGTCCAAACACATCCTTCTATTACATGCATGTTAACTGAGCAGCCCCGTTTTGCCAGGCCCTGTGACTCCCACTGACAATAAAAACAGACAGGAGACCCACATGGAGCTGGAGGGTAGAGACTGACATTATTCCAAGAATCACAGACCAAATTAAAATCTGTGCTAAGTGCACCAAAGGTAAAGGCGAAGGGGCCTAATCTAGTCTAAGGAATCATGGAAGACATCATGGAGGAAGGAACATGTGAACCAAGATCTGAAGTTTAAGGAGGCATGAACCAGAGGATGGGAAAAGGAAGGACATTTCTGGCTGATGCCAACTTTTAACTGGAAGTGGGGAAATGTCTACAATTTGACAGGGACCAGAGTATGTAGGACTTGGAGGCCAAGGTGACAATTTGGTTGTCATGGAGGAGGAAGCCATTAAAAAGTGTCAACCAAGGGGATGTCATAACTAGGGATAGACTTTGGAAGATTCCACTGGCTGCAGCTTGAAGGTCATCAGACGGTCAAGAGCAGAAATCCAGCAAGGTCAGGCAGTTGGCTCTCGTGGAAGAGCCCAAAGCCCGGGTAAGAGGAGATGGCTGCTGGGACCATGGGCATGGAGATGGAGAGAAGGAAAAAGATCTGACCTTCTACACCTGAAGGGTTCCATTTGTTGTATGTGTTTCTCATTCAAAAAATTTATGAAAACATTTGCTATAATAGACGTCCAAAGGGGACCTTCAATATTAACTGAGGCTGGACCATCAGACAGGCATGAAAATCCCATATCTTGATCAAAAGTATTGTTTGAGTGACATCCCATTCGTTTCCACGGCAAATGTGTTTCCTATCAAAAAGGAGTAGAACCTTTTACAATCGGCTAGGACTGAACATGTCAGGGCAAATGGGTATTAGAGAGTCAGCTATACCCCATCTCTGTTAGAGAGCATCTGACGAGGATGGAAGATGATTCTGGGGGTAGGAGGGAAGGCAGAGACCATTCCCGTCTCGTACAGGTACCAGGTACGAGCTAGGCCGGTTATCACATTCTTAAAAAATGATTTAAAATGGACTTAACTTCCCTAACATCTCCATACTCTCTGCACGTCTAATTCATCCGCTC